ATGTCTGTAGGCCTCAAACTCCTAAAACAGCTCGCTGGCTCCAGGCCCTGGGCCTTCAGGACTGAGACCGTGGGCAGCGGCACCAGCATCTGGAGCTCCCCCGGGAGGAACTAAGTGACGTAGCGTCAGCCAAGGCCGGCAGGAGCCGGCGCGCCCTCAGCTGTGCCCGCTGGTGCTGGGCTTAGGGGGCTGCTTTCTGTGCTGGTTCGCTGCCAAGTGGCGGCTGGCGCGGACCGCATGTTGAGAACCACAGTGTGATCTCCCCGCCTTCGGGGAAGCGAGGCTGAGCGGGGGCCCCGCAGGGGGCCCCGAGCAGGCATCTGCTCTCCTGCCCTCGCCAGCGCCCGCGGGCACACCTGAGCTGAGAGGGCCCGACACTCAGAGGGAGGACTTTGGGTCGGAAATTCCAGGCCCAAGTTCAACAACTAGTCATCTGTCCTACTAAAAAGCTATTTCAGGGAGTGGCAAGAAGATGGCTCGGAGGCAGACCACTGGCGCATGATGAATAGCAGCACAGAGCCTCACGCAAGCGGCCTGTCTACCAGCATCGCCACAGAAGCCGCGCCCCAGCGCCGGGCGCGGCCCAAACACCCCCACTGCGTCGCCCACGGGCCTCAGCTGCCTGGGTGCAGGCTCGGCCTTAGGGGGTAAAGAGCCTGTCGGACTGCCGGCCAGCCGTGCAGGGGGCCGCTGCTCCTTCCCTAGAGGCTGCACACCCGGCTGGCCGCAGGCCCACTGCCTGCCCACCTCCTGGCGCCCGGCCTGTGAGGTCAGCGGGTCAGACAGCCATGAGGCCGCCATTCCCTCGCAGGGGGGTAACTGTGTTGAAAGTTGTTGCAACTGGTGAGCCCGTTTCTCCCCTGGGCCCTTAGGGGCACGACAGGTTGAGGCCGGTCTGCCAGACCCTCAGAGAGGAACTAGAAAGTGACCCTTGGGTCCAACTCAGCGGGACCAGGGAGGCCCCGCCCAGGGGCAGTCAGGGCTGGCTCAGGGGCCGGCGTGGCCCCCGCTTCCGGGGAGGCCGTGTCCCCGTGTGCCTGATCCCTGGCCCTAGGGCAACTCAGCCAATCGATCCTGACCACCCACAGCACTTACTGGGGTCCTGTTCCCACTGCCCGCACCCCTTCTCCCGTGACGCCTGGGCTCCAGGCCCTGTGCGTTCTCCACCCGGGTAGCTTCTCCAGGGGCCCCGACGGCAGCTGCACGTCCCTGGCCGTCACGTGGAATGTCCTGGCTGCAGCTCTCAGAGTGTAAATATGGTCTTTGTAGCGATGAGATGGGGGGCGCTCGCCCCACTTGGAGCCTCGGTGCCGCCGGTTAGTGGGGCCTGGCGCCCGGGCTGGCCGCCCCTCAGAAGGGCCGCCAAGGGAAACACGCCTGGGCCCTTCGCGCTGTCCAGGGCGAGCTGCCCGCGCCGCTGAAAACGTGGTTTCATCGAGAGAGATATCAGTTCTTCCCTTCAGCATTGCAATTGCTGCATCCAGCCCTCTCGCCTCGAGTTCTGACTCAAAATACACTTTTGTGGAAGTCACCTCTTAGCAAATAATCTCAACTTTAGCTTTGGCAAAGCAAAAACAAACAGAGTGTCTTGTCTGTGTGCAGGGGGAGTGGGGTCAGGCCGAGTGTGGGCTCTCGTGGCCCTGAGCTCCTCGGCCCCGCAGGGGCCTCTTCTGCGCGCAGGGGAGCTGAGCCTCGGCACAGGTGTGCCCCAAGTCTAAGAGCGGAGCCCACCGCCCTGGCCCCAAGGCGGGGTCCTGCCCCCAGGCCCACAAGTCCTCCACAAAGCCCTGCGTCAACGTGAGGTGTGGCCCCGCCCTCCAGTGCCATGTTTATAGAGGACAGTCACGGATTTCCCGCAAAGCAGATCTTTTCTGCTTTAAAGGGGTCAAGTGATCATTTCGCTGCCACCGTCTTCCTGCTACTTGGTAGTTTATTTACTGTTGCTGTTGCTGAGTTTTCACTGCTGTTTTGTTTGTTTGTTTTTCTGATAGTTTGCATCCATCATTCAAGTTTCAGGCCTTTCTCACTGGTCTTGCCTTTAATGTAAGAAGGAAAGTGCTTGAGTGCAGATTTGCTATAGCTCTTCAAAGGGTTTCTAAGGAAAATTGCTGGAAAATGGGGTATTTGACGGAGGCCTGGCTTCCTGAGCCTCAAGGGGAAGGCGGAGCATGGAGATAGAGACTTCTCATCACAGCACAAACATTAAGCATGGCTTCCTAGCCCACCCCTACTGCGTGACTCCAGAAAGCACGCCATACCTAGATGCGTTCAAGGGAAGAAATGCCAGATTTGTCTTTAAGACGTGGAAAACTCCTACCTCAGCAAAGGCACTGGAATAGCTGAAGAGAAGGCAAAAGATACCACAACATAAGCAGAGAGGAGAAACAAATCATCAATTACGGTTTTAAACAGCATTTAACAACCAAAGAGTACAGATGATTATTAACCTGGCTGCCTGCCTGGCCCTAGGGACGCAGATGGGGAAGGCCCTGGGCTCACTCTGGTTGGGGAAAAGAAGAAAGCCTGAGGGTGAGGCCCTGGACCACCCGGACACGGGGTGCACAGACCAGGCCCGCCCCTTTCCAGGCAAGCGACCCCTCGGTGTCAGAAAACTCCCAGGCCCTGGCTTCCCGTCTGTGTCGTGGGGAGACTGCTCTCTACCTCGCGGGTGTCCCTGCCGACGGGCAAACAGCAGAGACCCAGCTCGCGCCGACTAGCACCACTTGCTCCTCCTCCACCCGGCCCACGTTGCTCCAGCTGGGCGCTCAGAGCTCAAGGTTCATAACCTAGGGCTGCAGGGCCCATTTCCCTGGGCAACTGTCAGCAAATCTGTATGTGCATTTTTCTGAATAGAGTATAGACCTTGGCTCAAATTCTTAAAGGGACTGGTGACCCCCCAAAACATCTGAATCCTCTTGCTTTAAAAAAGAGGCCTTCGTGGAAACCCCAGAGCGGGGCTGGGTGGCTGAAGGCACCCACTCAGACCCAGCCGTGGGGCCAGTGCCAATCTCCGGGGCCTTGGGAGCCGCTCTCCTGGGCCGGCCCTTCTGTCTGAGAACGCCACAGGAGCCCTGAGGCAGCTCTGCAGGAAGAGGTCTGGCCGCTTGTCGACAACCCAGTGGGGGTTACTCTGCAGGCTTCTGCCGGATCTTCCGTCACTGGCAGGGGCGGCCAGCGGCCAGCCCTGTGCCTCTGACCTGGGAGAGTGCTGGGCGGCCTCCCACGCGCTGCGTGCTGCTCCAGCTGTCAGGGACAGACTCCCATTCTCTGCCTCGGCCCCTGGGGCTGTGGGCAGAACACAACCAAAAACCCTTTTCTCTGTCGTGAATGCTCTTTCTGGGGCGCTCCGGCCTCCATGCCCCCAGGATGGACAAGGCACAAGGCAAAGGCGGAAGCAGTGGCCTGTGCATATCTGTGGCTGGGTGGTGCTGGGGGTCCTGTCCCCTCCCCCCAGCCGGAAAGAAGCCTGGGCGGGAGGCGAATGGTGAGGAGCCGCTCCTGGAGGTGAAGGGGGGGGCCCCGGCTAAGGAGAGCTGTGCACAGCCCTCCTGCCCCCACTACCAAAGCCCCCTCCACCCACCCCCACGCCCCGCCCAGTGCCACAGCCAGGAGTGCTCTGGCGTCTGCTGCCGTCGGGCTGGTGGGGTGACCAGGCACAGCCACGAGGCCTCAGAAAAGCTGAGGTATCCACAACAGACCCCAAAGCCCCAGATTTGCCCATTTAACCACCATGTGTGGACTCGTCAAGCCCCACCAGCAGCCAGGGGAGCTTGGGGAGTCTGACCTGTGCAGGAAAAGCGGGTGCACCTGCCAGGGCCGCCAACCCCCCACGCAAGGAAGAGGGCAGGGCTCCCCAGAGTTCACGCTGTGGGGAGGCGGGGGCCAGCCCGCCCCGCCGGGCACCGGGCAGCCGCCGCCCTGCTGGGCTTCCGCCGCCCGGCACAGAGCCCGCCAGCGCTGGCACGGGGCCACGGCTGCTGAACGCGCGCAGTAACAGAGGCGGGACTGGCCTGGGCGCCTCCGATCCGAGCCGCTCTCGCTCTGGCGACGACTCTGCAGAGGAGCGGGGGCCTTTTCTTGCTTTTGAAGCCGTAGTTCTACGGCTCGGCCTTGGAGAGCTTCCTGGGCTCAGTACGCGGACGCCGGCTCACGTGGCCCCGTGGCTCCCGCGGCTCCCGCCTCTGCGCGCCTGGCACGTGACTGGCGGCAAACGCCGCGCCCTCCGCCCGGCTGCCCGTGCTCTGTGAAGTCGGCGCTCTCAGCCCCGCCGGGGGGCAGTGTCAGAAGAGAGCCGGGGTCAGGCGCGTCCAGACGCTGCGGTCAGCAGCACGGCGCCACCCGCCGGTCTCAGCATGGGAGCTCCTTTTGGAAAATGCTACCGAGGTGAAACCCCGCCCCTCCTTCCCCGGCGAGGTGGGAGGCTGGTGCCCTAGTCTCAGAAATGTCGGAAGCCTCTGGCTACGCGGTCAGGTGCGGGCCCCCAGCCACGGCCCTGTGATCCACACAGCACGGTCGTCACGGTGATTGAAAAGGCAAGTGAGGCGTGGGGCGAGGCCCGGCCAGTCTCAGCCGGCCGGCCGGAGGAGCAGCCCGACCGCACGCTGGCAGGATGTCCCCGGAAAGGCCCCAGGCGCTGGACGCTGCTGTATGAGGGACGCACGTCTCTTCTTGCCAGTGTGGGCGACTGAAAATAAACTCACTCCAGGAACGCCACACAAGTGCCGCAGAAGCTCAGCCCTCTGGGGAGGTAAACGTGACAGGGAGACTAGGGCCCGCCAGGTAAGGAGCGGCCCGCGTCCCACCGCAGCAGCCAGGGTGGCAGTGGCTCACACCGGGCCCCTGGCTGCCAGCGGGCTCCCGTCTTCACACACGCGTCCCGCCTTCACTGCAGGCCCGTGGCTCCAGCCCGCAGAGGCGGTGCCGGCTCGGGGCAGCTGCAGGTGGGTGAGGCTCACGGCAGACGGCGGCGGGTCTGTGACTGCGTGTGTCTGTGTCCCCAGGCCCCTGGAGAGACTGCCTGCAGGCCCTGGAGGACGGCCACGACACCAGCTCCATCTACCTGGTGAAGCCGGAGAACACCAACCGCCTCATGCAGGTGTGGTGCGACCAGAGACATGACCCCGGGGGGTGGACCGTCATCCAGAGGCGCCTGGACGGCTCTGTCAACTTCTTCAGGAACTGGGAGACCTACAAGGTGAGAGCCGGGGGCGTCTGGGCTGCCCACAGAGTGCTGGCCCACCGGAGGCCCGTCCGGCCAGTGCAGGAGCCCTGGCGGGGGAGGGTCGGTGTGTGCGGACGTGCGAGGCGCAGGTGGACACCTGCAGCAAGAAGGACGTAGAAATGCATCTCCCCACGGGGGCTTCTGGGGAGAAGACCTATTTCTGCTGCCCCAGGGCTGAAGATCAGGCTCCTGGGAGGGTCTCCCAAAGGGCCCGGTGCAGGGAGCTGGCGTCCTTGGGTCTAACGCCAGGGCCCCTGTGCCGGGCTCCCGCTCCTGGGGCACCCCGAGGTCGGGAAGGCTGCCAGGGCTCAGCCGTGCCTCCCTCGCTGCCCTAAACAAAAGGGCGGCACCATGTAGGAAGCGCCAGGCCCGGCACAGTGAGCCCCGTGCCCCCGCGCTCCCGCTCAGACTCGGCAGCCTTCGGGGGCGGTACCGCTGTGGACACACTTACGGACGGCCAGGCCGAGTAACCATTCAGGGTGCACAGCCGGGGAGTGGCAGGGGCACCCCCAAGCCCCGCCGCCGAGGCCACTAACTAGCTCAGCCGTGACCCCTGCCGTGCCCCCTCCTGGCCTCCTGTGCTGGCCGCATGCCAACCCGCCGCCGGGTCTCTACTCTGCTCGTCCTCCTCGGACCTCTGACACTGTGAGGACTCGCTCCTTGACCCTTCCCTCCAGACCCTGCGCGGGGGCACAGCCGTTAGCACGGCTGCCGACCCCAAGCCCCGACTCTCCCTGGGAGCTCTGTGGCCCTGCAGTTTGCTCACTCTGGGGAGGACAACAGTGGCACCCGGCTCTCAGGCTGGCCTGAGGACTCAGGCCGTGCGGTGGGACCGACAGTGGCAGAACTCTGCTGGCTGCCACGCCGCTGAAGACCCCACGCTACACGTCAGGGCACGAACCACGAGGCTGCAGGCCCATGGGGGTGTGGGGCGCGCGCTGGGGTGTGCACAGGGCCTGCACACGGCTGCCCAGAGGAGACGGGGCTCAGAGGAGGGAAGGGCCTGTACCTGCCGGCTGCACCCCGTCACATGTGTCCCTGGGGGCCCCCAAAGAGCTCTCCACGTGACGGGGGGCCACGGGTTCACACAAGCCGCTCGCGGCAGGCACTTCTCCACAGGCTTGAATGACAGTGCCAGGCTCAGAAAGGCAAAGCCACGCGCCCAGAGGCGCTACCTGCTGTGCCCGGAGGCCTGGGCCCCAGCCTGCCTTCCCCCTGCCGCCCCGCCCCACCCACCCCCGCCGGCCTGCAGCTGAGGGCCCCGCGGGGTCCACACATGCGTCCCTGTGTCTCCCCAGCAAGGGTTCGGGAACATCGACGGCGAGTACTGGCTGGGCCTGGAGAACATCTACTGGCTGACGAACCAGGGCAACTACAAGCTGCTGGTGACCATGGAGGACTGGTCTGGCCGGAAGGTGTTTGCCGAGTACGCCAGCTTCCGCCTGGAGCCCGAGAGCGAGTACTACAAGCTGCGGCTGGGGCGCTACCACGGCAACGCCGGCGACTCCTTCACCTGGCACAACGGCAAGCAGTTCACCACGCTGGACCGAGACCACGACGTCTACACAGGTAGGGGCAGCGGGCCAGCCAGCTGGGCGGGACGAGGCCAGCAAAGCCGGGCCCGACCCCGGGGCCCGGAGCCGTGGGCCCAGCCTGCTCGTGCCCCCGCGCTCCACTGCCACCACGGCCACGGCGCCCTTGCAACGCTGGGGCGAGTGGCATCACCAGGAAGGGCCAGGGCAAGACTGCTGGAGCGCCCGCGCAGGCCCTCAGCCGGCCACCCGCAGGGCCGCGTCTTCGCAGGTGCCCGCGCTGGCCTGGGTGCCCGGTCTGGCGCGCGGGCGGGTCAGAGAGAGCCGACGGCCCGGGCTGGCTCCCCCCGGGCCTCCCCCCGGTACCTTTACTGCACGTGCAGATCTTCCTCCCCGTGCCCTGGGGTCACGTCCCACGAGACCCCCAGAGAGCTGCGGTGCTGACGAGGTCTCAGCTCGCTGTGGCTGCCGGCACCTCGGGGCGAATCCTTCAGGCTCTCAGGGAAAGCGTCTCGCGTGCACACCGTGAAGTGGCAAGTCTTAAGTCGGAGACTGTCCCACCAACCTCACACCCTAGGAGAGCGCTCGAGAAACCCGCTCGAGAGGGGAGGCGACTGGCCACGGTCACGGGCCTCATGAGGGTCCAGGTCTCCTGAGGAGTCCTCACTAAGTAAAGTGAAGCCCCACCCTCAGCCCAGACAGCAAGGCCCCGCCCACCCCCACCAAGGCCCTCTGCTCTCCGGGGAACCTGGCCCCTCCTGCCCCGCCCCGTTGGTCCCGGTCTGACGGCCAGCGTGACGCCCAGTGCCCGTCCCACAGGGCAGGGGGCCGTGCTCACGCCCCGCGCCACCAGGCGCTACCTGCTGGGCACGGGCTGGGCTGCGGAGGCCCCGAGGGCGGTGTGTCCTCTCGGGCCAGGAGCTCCAGGCTTGCCAGGCAGCAGGCAGGAAGCGACCCTCAGGGCGCCCGGGCTCTGGGGACACGGTGCGCACAGCCTTTCTCGGGGCTGTCACAGCAGGGCGGGCACTGCTCTGTGCCCCGGGCCTGCCTAGCAGCACCGTTAGGGGACAGCCAGGACTGGGCCCTTGTCCCTGGCGCAAGCTGCCGAGGGCCTACGTGGGCCTAGGCCAGGCGGGTGTGCACGCCCCGCCTCCAGACCCCACACTGCTGCTTGGTCCGCGGGGCCTCCCGCCGCGGCCCGGGGGGCCGAGAAAATGTCCGGGGAAGCCTGGGGCGGGGAGTCCCCCTGGCTTCCTGCCTCTGCCCGCCCGCTCCCTCTTCGCCTCGCTCCGAGGTCGGGGCACCCCCCCCCGCAAGCCCCCTTCCCGGGAAACCGGGCCTCCCACCAGGCACAGCCCCAGCCGACAGCGGCCCCCTGCCCGCCTTCCGGGGGCGGGGGCGCCGGAACACCTGCCTGCACCCTGCCCACAGTTGCTGTCCCCAGCAGCCAACCTCGGCAAGCTACGCCAGAGCCTGCGTGTTAGGAAACTTTTTCCTTCTGTGAAATAACTTTCAAAACTATTTAACTACAGAGCGGCAGGCCAGGAAGGCCTAGGGGCGCACCTCATAAATGCGGGGACTCCTAAAAATTCCCCGGCGAAACTCCCTGCCCTCCCTGCCCACCCCCGGCCGTTTCCGCTCTCTCCCGGGTCCTGGGTCCTCCCCTGGTCCCCAGCACCAAGCCCGGGGCCACGAGCTCGGAGGCGCGCTCCCCGCATCCGCGCCAGCCCCGGGGGGAGGCCTCTGTCGTCCTCACTTTGCAATGACATCGCGGAGGCCCAGCGAAGGTCCGTCGCTCCCCCGGTCACAGAGCTCATCAGTCGGAAGGCCGAGCCCGGAGCCGGGTCTGGTCAGGTCCAAAGCCCCGTCCGCCCCCCAGTGCCCAGTGCCGCCCGGAGAGGGCTCAGCCGAAGTCCGGGAGCGCGGGGGACACGGGCCAGACCCCTCCCCCCGACCGTCTCGGCCCCGCTCTCCGCAGGAAACTGCGCCCACTACCAGAAGGGAGGCTGGTGGTACAACGCCTGCGCCCACTCCAACCTCAACGGGGTCTGGTACCGCGGCGGGCACTACCGGAGCCGCTACCAGGACGGCGTCTACTGGGCCGAGTTCCGCGGGGGCTCCTACTCGCTCAAGAAGGTGGTGATGATGGTCCGGCCCCACCCCAACACCTTCCACTAAGCCGGCGCCCGCCGGAGCCCCCGGCCACGCCGGCCCCTCGGGCCGCCGAGGGCCGAGCCCCAAGCCACCGGCGGAACTGAGTGGACACAGGCGCCTCTTCCCCGCTCGTTCTCTCCACACCAGCCCTCGCCAGACAGGACAGACCCACAGGCAAGTCTTTCCTTCAGCCAGTGACGTCCCCACAATGAAACACAGTGCCCACGTGGACGGGCCTGCCCGTGCACGCCTGTGGCCACCGCAGGTGAGACCCGACGCCCCAGGCGCACCCACCCCGCGCGTCCAGGCCTCGTGGCCGAGCTGGAACCGCGATTTCGCTCTTAGGAAAAAACATTTCTTCACCGCGTGTCGCTCGCCTCCAAGAGCCGGCCGCCCGCTCAGCCGCCGCTCCCACCGGCCTGGGCTCTTCCGGGAATGTGGGGGGGCCTCGGCTTCCTCGCTCAGGAACCCCTCGGGGCCCCTAGTCAGACGTCAGGCTCCCGTCCCTCTGCACTGCCCCCCACCTCGGGCCCCCGCCTCTCCCGCCTTGCCCGGGGTGGGGGGAGCCCCTGCAGTGCCCCCAGCCCTGCCCCGCCCGGCTCCCCTCACCACTCCAGCCCCGCCGTCTGTCTGTCCTCAGCTTCCCTCAGATCCCCAGCCCCCGAGGAGGGGGCAGTCAGGGCTCCAGTTTCCTGGTCAGGAGAGGGACAGCCAGACCCCAGAGCTGACCGCTGGCCGCAGGTGATGTATCGCCGTTGTGTATTCCTGCTCACTTGTAGCCGACGTGCCACGATAACCTCCACAGAGATAATAACCTTGCCGGAGACACTCGAGTGAAGGGACATCACCGAGTGTCAGGCCCCGGCGGCGCCAGGCCACAGCCCCGGCCTCGGCCACAGCCCTCCCCAAACGACACCTCCCGAGCCCAGGCGCCAGACGCGGGAACTGGCCCCTTCCGGGGAGTCACTCAGAGCTGGGGCGCAGAGCCCCTCGGCCGTGCACGCGGTGGCGCTGTGGGAGGTCTCTGGGCCGTGCAGGTGCGCCGGACACGGCCCAGCAGGGGAGAGACAGGAAGAAGGCGAGACCGCCGGGGCGTGGCCGGGCGTGGAGACGGCGGGCGCGGGTCCGGCCGGGCCTGGCGTGCGCCGATTACCTCAGCATCCTCACCGAGTGCGCCGCGGAGCATGTTTGTGTACATAAAAGGGAAGGTTTGTTTTTTAATATATGCCCAGATTATCCTGTATTGACACAATCTGCAATAAACGCTGTCATGCTGCGCGGCGTTGTGGCTGCTTCGCTGCCTCGGGGCGGCCTTTCTCGGGGCGGCGAGGCGAAACCGGGGAGCGGCTGGCACCAGGACGCGCAGGGCTCGGGCCTCCGGCGCTCCGGCCGCAGGCTGAGGCCAAAGGGACAGCTGCCAGGGCCCACCCTCTAGGAAAAGAGCAAGAGCGCCGGCAGTGGGGTGGCCCAAGTTGGGCAGGGCTTGCAGCGTGAACTCGACGACCCCCCCGGACTGTCCAAAGTGCAGGAAAGACATGTGCCCCACAACCACCACAGGGCAGGTGCAGTCAGGGGAGGGGGCTTCGAGAGACTGTCGCAAAGTGGCAAGCAGAGTGCTACGGCTGACTCACGTCCAGCAGACAGCCGGGACGCGGCAGGCGGGGGGCCAAGGGCTGGCGGGGTGCAGGCGCAGGGGCGGGGCCCCGGGAGGAGTCTCGGGTGATCAACCAGAGAAACACTGCCCTTTGGGGAGCCGAGTCAGAGACGCCCGGAAAGGACTCTGAAGCAGTCTCCTCTTGTACCCCAGCCCAAGGGCCACAAGCCCAGCGAGGTAAGTGGGTGCAGTTGGGCCGCGACAGGCCAGAAGCTGCCCGCCTGCCCGCCCCCCGCCAGGCCTGCGCGCCTGGAGAAGCAGACTTCTGATGGACGCCAGACTGTCGGTCAGAGGGGCTGGGCTCGGGGAGCTCGCAGTGGCAAGGCCGAGGAGGGAAAGAGCAAGTCCCAGAGCAGGCTGGAAAGGACACTGGAGGAAAAATAAAGTTGGCTTCTTCTTATACCTGATGGAATCCAGCTCACGCAGCGGCTGGTTACATAAGGACTCGCGAATCTCTGGAGCCCGTGAGCCGGGCGCAGCTGGGCCTCACGAGGGCCAAGCCCAGGAACCGCCTGCAGCGCCCGGGGCGGCCAAGAGGCTCCGCGGCTCCCCCTTCGCCCCGCGCTGCGGGCGCTTGCTGCCCTGCCAGCCCAGTGCTGAAGCCACAGGCCACCCCGGCGTGGCTGCAGCACAGGGGCCGAACCCCTCCCCTTGCCAGCGAGGGCCCCTGGCCCAAGGACCCGGCTGGCCAGTGTGGGCTGCTGTCCACTCCCTCCCATCACCTCTGGTCTCAGAGCAGGTTCCCAGCCACCGGAGATCAGCACACTGGAGGAGCTGGGGGGGGGGGCGGTCATTCCCAAGTTCCCAGAGGGAATCACGGGGTGGGCCTGCTCCCCAAAAGTTGTCAAGACTGGACTCCAGCTGCTGCTGGTTGCATCTTTACCATATTGGGGGAATCATGTCTGGCTAGCTAGAGGGGCTCTGTCCCTGCCCCCTGCTGACCCTGGCCCTACCCCAGAAAGTACACCAGCCCCTCCAGGCCTGCCGCGTCTCCACGTGGCCACTGGCCATGCTGTCGGGGCTCCCCCTGCCCTCCGGGGTGTGCTGAGCTTCAGGTCATCTCCGTGGGAGCTGCAGGCAGCGAGGGGCCCATGCTGGGTCTCCCCGGCAGTGCAGGGGACACCTCCACCAGCAACCCTCCGTGGAAGCCTCCACGGGCCTCCTCAGCTCTCACGGGAGCCCCGAGGGGAGCTCTGCAAGCCCCTCCTTCGGCACGACGGAAGCGGCAGCTCAGACGGGGCTGGCGTGTCCACGGATGCACAGCCCGGGCCCACACTCGCACCCCAGGCGCCAGCTCCTGAGCTCCTGCCTCGGTGGCAGCAGCAACCTGTCCCCATGGACCACGTGGAAGCACTCGGTGCGCTAAGCGGCTCTCGCCCAGAGAGCCACTGGCCTCTCGGGCAGCGTGGAGCCTTCCTGCCTGCCGAGCCCTGTGTGAGTGGCCGGCCAGCCCTCTGGGCAGAGGGCTCCTGGGTGCCAGGAGCCAGCTTCCCTGGACCTCTGAGCACGGGCCGCGGAGAGGCGGCAATGAGGGAGATTCCACCGGCCCTGTAGCTCCCACCGGTGCCGGGCAGCGAGCCCTGCCTCCCCCTTCACTGCGGGCTGGAGGCCCTCGACCCTAGGCTAACCCCTGGCTGTGGGCACTCGGGGCATCCCACTGTGGCCGGCCTGGCTGCCGCCTCATGCAGGGGTTCCATCTGGCCGTCAGCGGGTCTCTGGCTCAGAGCAGACCCATCTTCATGACTCATCCTGGGGCTGGCGCCCCTAGTCTGTCCGGTCCCCGCATCAGGCCTGAACCGAGCCCTCGGTACCACCTCCCCGAGACACTCCAGTCTCCCTGTCTCTCTGCCCCGGGCATCCAGGGCCGCCCGGCCCACACATGGGAGCCCGGACGCAGATAATCCCTGCCGGCTGCGGAGCAGCCCAAATGCTTCCACATGCGTGTCTCCCTGCACGGCGGCCCGCCGGCGGGCCCACCCTGCCCGCCAGCGGTCACAGGGAGCCTGGCCTCTCGGCTGGTCACCCTCGGGAGGCTCCCGAAGCTGCGGGATCGCACGCTAAGAGGCGTGCTGGACAGGCCGCACTGGCCCTGCGCCTGAGCCAAGCTGGGCGGCGCCCAGGCAGGGAAGGGTGGCCCCTGCGGGGGGATGGAGTTAGAATTCCCTTCAGGAGCCACATGAAGGCAGGCCCACGCCCGCGCCACCAGGGCAACAATTAGAAGCGGCCCCAGCCTGCGGGGCCCCAGCAAGGGTGCCGGGCACGGGCCCCTCTCAGCGTCCTCCCTGGCCTGCCCCCGCTCAGGGCGGCGCAGGTGCACTGGGGACTCAGAGAGGGATGAGGACGGCGAGCCGGGCCCGGGGACAGGGGCGGGTGGCGACGAGGGGAGCCTGGAGCCTGCTGCGTGATGGGGCCTGGCAGCCCAGGGCCTGCTGTTTCAGTACAAACGCAGCCGCTCCCCGGCCAAGAGCCCTTGGTAGAGAAACACGGACCAAGACTAGATGCCATCTGCACCAGAAGTTTACTGCAAATTACAACCCAGTGCAAGGGGGGAAAGCGCAGCATGCGGAAGCTGCCCTGAGTCAGATCCCCGGCCAGGGGGTGACCCACAGGGCCCAGCAGACTTCCCTGTCCCCCCGCCACTCCCCTCAGCAGTGTATTCAGTGCATCTGCCTGTTCTGCAACCCTCTGTCTCTGGTGAATCCTCTGACCCCCACACCTCTGGCCTGTACCCCAGTTCCTGTATGCATAAATAAATCTTAAAAAACAAAAGCGGGGGACAGCCACCGCATCACGGGCCGTGACGGGGCCCCCCGAAACCAACCTGCCTGCTGTGCCGGCTGCCCTGGCAGGTGGAGACTCTCAGTGACAGAGGGAAACAGGCAGAGGGAAACAGGGCAGCAGGCCGGGGGTTTACCACGGGGGAGTGATGGAGCGGGAGAAGGAGGTGGGGAGCGGGAGAGGGAGGCGGGGATTTGCGCTTTTCACTTCATAGACTCTCTGCTGCGTGAGTGAGTTTTACAACACTGTTACTTTTGTGATTTCCAGTCTTCAGGGGACGAGTGGGCTCTGGGCGCCACTCCTGAGCCGGAACTGGCTGGGCAGCACACCAAGCGGGGCCTGGGCAGGCCCGGGCTGGCCTGGGGACGCCCAGAAGCCCGGCACGCGCCCGGCAGGAAGCCGCAGCCCCCGTGGGTGACTCCCCAGCCCCTCGGGCCCGTCAGCTCGGGCCCAGGCGCCTCCCTTCCTCCGGAGCTGCAGGACTCGGACTGTCAGAGAACCAGCCTCCTGCGGGACCCCCCTCCCACTGGCGTCCGACAGGCCCAGCGCTCCCTGCCGCCTGAGGGGTTAACCTCAGAGTCTCCTGGGCACGAGTTTCACAGCTGGCGACAAAGGAGCAATGTGAGGCGGTGGCGAAGGCTGGCACTGCGCTGCCGTGCGGCCAGACTAGCCCGGAGCTCGGCAGCCGACCGCAGACACTCAGCATCTCTGTGGGCCGGGACCCGGGGGTGGCTGACCGGTGCTTCTGAAGACTGGGCTGCGGTCTCATCCGGAGGCTCAACTTAGGCAGACTCTGCTTCGAAACTCACCAATTCCTAGCCGGGGGCTCCCCCAGACTGCCGGACCCGCCCCCCACCAATGTGCGACCCAAGGGGAAGCAAGCCCCGAGATGGAAGGCACCGTTTTAGTGTAATCCGACTCAGCAGGGGCACCCCAGCAAGTCACCGTGCTCTGCTCCTGCTCAAGAGAAAGGAGGCCCACAGGGGCCAGGGTCCTGGGTGACCTCAGGGGCCGTCCATACGTGAGGTCATCCCGAGTCTCAGGGCCACTGTGCTCACGTTCCCTCTTGGGGACACCTGGTGGCCCTGAGTGCATCCTGAGGAGAGAGAAACCCCCTCCTCCCTTCTCCTGAGACACTGTGAAGAAAGGGCCCGGTGCGGGGCCCGGGGGAAAGGACGCCGGTACCCGTCGACCCCAAATGAGAACCCAAGACAAGGTGGAGGAGCAGCAGTCCGACATGGGCAGACTCTTGCCGGACAACACACATTCTCGGGCACAAAGTAGGCTTTTGTGTTCTGGGGTCACACACGACTTCTTGGGCCAGCAGGTCTACCCTGAGCCCCAGGCAGGACGGTGGGAGGAGGGGCTCAGCCCCGGGCAGTGAGGCCCCCAGGAGGTCAGTCCCTGAAGGCGCTTTCTCTTGCGCTTCTCTCCATGAGCCAGAGATCCAGGGGGCGTGTGGAGGCCGGTGGGCCCCAGCCATGAGCACGAGGGTCCGAGTTACACCCAGTACCCCAGGGACGCAAGTCAGACTGTGGTCTTCCATTCACAAAACAGGGGTTTTTAGTGATACCCACTGGCTCTGAGCAAGACTGTGAAGTCACAGAAAAATGTGAGTTTTCAGATAACAAATCCTGAGATTGCAAAGCAGAGGCAGAATTTACTGGCAGAGGGTAAGCAGTGTACAGCTGACCAGTCCACCAGAGAGCGGGGAGATCCCCTCATCTGGTCTGCAGTGCTGTTTTCGGTTCTTTTGCTGATTGAGAAGATGTTTGAGATGGGCCAGAGGGCAGCTTCTCCCTGCCTACTGGGCCCCAGAGAGCACAGGCCTCAGTCTGGGGAAAGG